TTCTATAAAATGAATATTAAAGGAATAGTTCACCCAAAAACGTACAATATTATGGATAGAGGACCTGTCTTAATGATAAAAAAAATGTCTTACAAAATGCAGATTTTCACTTCACAATTTGTTAACTGATGAACTGGAGTCGTGTGGATTACTTGTGCATTATTGTAATGTTTTTATCAGCTGTTTGCACTCTCATTCTGACGGTGCCCATTCACTGCAGAGGATCCATTGGTGAGCAAGTGATGTAATGCTAAATTTTTCTACTATGAAGACAAAAACTCATCTACATTCTACATCTATATCATCCTGAGGACGAGTACATTTTCAGCACATTTTCTTTTTTGGGTGAACTATTTTTCTAATGTGTGAATGAGATACCTGTAGTTTGAGACCGACAAAAGCAGAACACACAGATGGAGGACAGGAGTGAAGAGAGGAGAACACACACTGAACACACACTGAACAGCAGCATCCAGCAGAGCACACAGTCAGATACAGGGGGTGTGGCAATGGTGGTGGATTCATGCATAGATACTGCCTCTAAATTAAACAAAAAAGATGTTTGTTTGTTTTGTTTTTTTACTTATCACCTTCACCACATTACACTTTAGAGGACATATATGTTACATTATTTTGCATTAATTGCAAGCTTTGTATGAAGTATAGAGCAACTCTCCTTCTTTTCTCTTTGTAGATCATTTGGCATATGTGGCATATTATTTGACATATTGTAATCGGTTTTTAGTCAGATTATTAATATTCTTTTCAAATTTGTGAAAAGAAAAATATTTCAAACAGACTGAGGTGAAATAGTTACTGTAAATTAATCACAACATAGATTGTCATGGATTTTTTTTTAAGATTATGCATTTTGTTTTTATTCTTTCCACTTTCTGCTCAGAAAAGGGGTCAAGCAAAGTTTCTTCAGAATTTACCAGTATGCCTAAAAGCACAAACAATAGTAAAAATGTTTTCGCGCCCAAGACAAATAGATGAGCTTACACGTTTCCATACTCATACTCAGACTTTGGGTTTATGATGCCGTGTACATCTGTACATATTTCCTTTTCTCTTTTAGCACAGTAGTACATTCCCTCATCAGAGACACTGATGTTTGTAGATGACAAAAAACAACAACATGAACAACCATATAATTTTTATCACCTTTCATTAACACACACACACACACACACGTATAGTGATTGAAGAATAAAAATGCAAAAAAAGTTTGACTGCAGGATTGTGTCAGCATAAGTATGTGCAAGACTTTTCATTAACTAATATAATGAAAATAAAAGAAATGAGTTTGTTAACACAAAACAAATCAACATGAACAACTGTGAAAATGTTTTCTCACCCAAGACAGATAGACGAGTTGTCTTGTTTCCATATTCGTATTCAAATTGATCATTTATGATGCCGTTTACATCTTTACTTATTTTCTTTTCTCTTTTCGCACAGTAGTACATTCCCTCATCAGAGACACTGACGTTTGTAATATGCAGATCATAAGAGTTTCTGGAGCTGTTGAGCACGAAACTAAAACGTGGAAACTTCTCCATGAATATTTCTGAAGAATCTATGAGCAAAGATGGTTGATGCTCATGTGAGCAGTTTCTCAACCAAACAATGAGTGATCCTAATGGTATGACACAGTCAGAGTAGAGAGTGATGCTGTCTCCTGCTTTAACTCTCATGTTCACTTCTGCCCCAAAGACTCTCTGCTGTTCACAGAACAAAATACCTGCAAAAGCAAATACAAGTTCATATACATGAAAGAGGACTGTCAATCAAATCAATGCCATGGCATGAAACATAACATTAAAAAAGCATGCACAAAAAGAGGACTTACACAGAAGTATGATGACTGTAACTCTTGCTCGCTCCATCTCAGTGACAGAAAAATGTGAGAGTCTTCAATGCGGATGTCAGCTCTTATTTGATTGGCTGTGGTGGGAGGTATTTCTGCTAAAGGGTTTTGATAAACTTAAGGGTTGGAATTGTTTTTTGTTTTGTTTTTTAGATTGGTCACTGTTTTAGTTACTAATAACCAGGTCATATTTTTTTGGGTTGGTTGCTTGCTTGCTTGGTTGACTGACTGACTGACTGACTTACTGACTGATTGATTTTAATCCAATAAATTAAAGCAAATTAATGTTATTGTAAATGTGTTTATAATATTTGATACAATACTGTAAATACTGAAGCTTTTTCTATTTAGTATTTTATTTCAACACTCAAAAAATATCTTTTTTTTATTTTATTCAAAATAGTTTACATTTAATTTTAATTGAAATTTTATTGTTGAATGTGTTGTGTATTGTGCATAAATACATATGTAAATGTATCATTGGATATAAAAATGGGTTTATGTTGCATGTGTGTGCATGTGTACTAAATGTAGCAAAAGCATGTTTGAGAAAAAAGCAAGTTCAGATATCAACTATGACATTGCTGAGGGCGGTAATTTTGCAGTAAATTGTATAAATTGAGCAGGCAGAATCACATCTTGGCATAGGGATGTGCAGATGTCAATAGTCTATAAGAGGCTTCAGTGTGGAGGCAGATCTTTCCCATCTTACTCATCTCACACTGATGATTCTCCATAGAATCCCCCTGAAATAGGAGATGCACATGAAACAAACTAAACTACTGTCTTTGACATTGCAAAGCCTGAAAATTTATTAAAAACAAATAATAATATATAGATACCTTATTAACATCGGCTGTGATTATCGCTGCATTCCACTCAGAACCTAAAGATCGTATGAATGTATGCCAGCATAATGAGAAAATAATGCAGGTCTGAACACAGGAACTTCAGAGCACATGTGCTCTTAAACACATAAAAGTGCCAGTACCATCTTAACACTAACTGATATACAGCTTTCATTATAAGCAGTCATTTTTGATCATATAAACAACATTAAATATGTGAAAGATCTTTTATTTCACATTCAGCTTCATGTGTGGATTGGGGTCTGTGTGTGTGTGTGTGTGTGTGTGTGTGTGTGTGTGTGTGTTCCGTTACACTTGTGCGCTCTTTGCAAGCAGCTCAAACACTGCACATAATAATGCACATATGTATTCACAAGGTTGTGGCTTCCTGTCTTTCTTACCAGCTGAGACGAGAGCTTACCTTGCTTGTTAAAAATATGGTTAGCAATAATAATAACAATCATAATCACAATAATCATAATCCATGCAATAAAATGATTCACATGAGGACAGCCACAAAGACCACTGGACACATTTGTGGTTTGGACTTCTAGAGAAGTTCGGAATCTCTTTACTGGAAATGTAACCTGTGCACCCAACAAGACTGAATTCACACATAAACAACAAACCACTTCTTACATCCTGTGGCCCCTAAAGGCAACTTTATAATGTTTACTAGCCTTCATGTAATTTCTTCACGAACATGCTCAGTAAATTATCCCTCTGAATATCTATCTTGATCACTGTGTTTTCTTTATTGATTTTCACAGCAAATTATATGTGACTGAACCTTTGCAACTTGCAATATACAGCCAAATTCTCACTTAAATGAATGCTAGTTCCAAATATACACCACCAAAAAAGATCAAGTGATCACTTGTTATATTATGCTAAAATAAAAAGGCACAGACAGAGACTAACCTAAAAGTTATAAAATATACATTTGCAATTTTAGCATTCTAACATTACTGTTTTAATGTCAGGAATCTCAGAAAAAAAAGGGTTGATGATTTAAGTACAGCTTGCACCGAGGTACATTAAATAAAAAAATGTCAACTGTGAGTCTTATTGACATAAAAAAAAGGAAATACATCATGTAAGTAGACAAGTGATCAAGAGAAAAGACCACAAGTGTGAGTATTGGGACAGACTGCTAAAATCAACATTTCTTCCCCCATGCGGTGACCTGTTACATGTAAAATAAAACAGCTTTTAGGCAATTGATATGACTGTTCTCTCATGTTTTTGTACTTTGTATGTAGAGTTCTTTATTTCTTATTTTTTTTAATAAGGAGAAATTACTGAGTGCACCTGAAATAACAGATTTTGAATATTAGCTACTAGATGAAGCCACTTAGTTTTGCTTTCCTTTATAATTATTTCCTGTTCTGTTGACTTGTTACTTAATCCACCACCAAAGTGCATGCTCCACATAAATCTAAATTGCATTAATGCTATGAAATTTGTTCAAAATATTATATATGACAGACAGACAAATACACAGACAAAAACACAAATGAAAGTCTGTTTTAGGGTCCAGTGGAAACATTTGTGGTTGGTACTTACAGCTGACCACAAGAAGAGAGAGAAAGCGTAAGAGAGCGAGTGAACGAACGGTGGACAAACACACAGGAAACCATTTTAACATCCTGTTGATCAACAACTCTTCATTTTGTTGCAGCAAAGATGCCCATTTTACTCATGTTAATGGCTATGCTTGTTGTCTTCGTAGGTGTAAGAACCCAGAAAAAATAGTTTTTCAGGGCGCTTGTACAACAAATAAAGCAATTATGATTCAAGGCTGCAAACATACATTGAGATCTGCATTTAGCTGCTGTTACTCAATTATATGTTTTATGCATGTAACTTAATGTCACAGAAGGGGTCATTTTTGATCATATAAACAACATTAAATATGTGAAAGATCTTTTATTTCACATTCAGCTTCATACTCCTTCTCAAAAAAAATCATATTATGGCAGCTACACAATATCAATCATTAAACTGAAGAAACATAACTTTAATTTAAATTTACATAAATGTGAATTCTAAAAAAGCAAGACTGGACATATAGATTACTTTCTCACAGAACACTGACATCTGCAAATGCACAACTATTGTGTATACAACAAAAAATAGCAGCAGTCTTTTCAATAACTTGCTTTTAACACATATTTGGCATATTTATGATTTGTTTGCAACTTTAACCATAGTATTTAGGTTTTATATGGGAAAAATCAAGTAAAAAAAAGTGTCAAGGAAATGAACAGTGAATGGGTTACCTGTAGTTTGAGCCCGACAGAAGCAGAACACACAGATGGAGGACAGGAGTGAAGAGAGGAGAACACACACCGGACACACACTGAACAGCAGCGTCCAGCAGAGCACACAGTCAGGAGGTGCAGAGGTGGATTCTAAATGAACACACACTGTCACACTGTTTATTCAAAAACAAAAGCAGAGGTATTCTGAACGTAACAATAATAGTAATAATAATAATTATTATTATTATTATTATCATGTACCTTATACTTACTTAAATAGTTAAACATACTTAAATATAAAGTTGAATATTTAAGTATGTTTAAGTATCCGTATACAAACAATATATAAACAATATACAATTTTGTGTAAAGCTGCTTTGAAACAATGTGTATAGTAAACAACACTATGCAAATGAATACTTCTACTACTACTACTAATAATAATAATAATAATAATAATAAAGCAACAGTTAGCAGAAGTACTTTCTTACCTTCCAGAGAGAGACGAATTGTTCGGTTTCCATTATAGTATACCTTAGATGAGTAGAGGATGCCTTGTTCATCTTCATGTAGCTTATTCTCTTCTTCCACACAGTAGTAGAGTCCCAGATCAGAAACACTGATGTTAGTAATATGCAGATCAAAAGAATTATTGTAGCTGTTGTGGATAAAGCTGAAATGCTGAAATATCTCCAGGCCCCATTGCTTAAAACCTATTATGAGAGAGGGTTGATTTTCATGAGAGCAGTTTCTTATCCATACAACGACAGAACCAAGAGTTAGAGAGCGATCACAGTAGAGAGTGATGTTGTCTCCTGGTCTGACTTTCATCTCCACTTCTGCTCCATTAGTCTGACTGAAAACCAAAACACCTGTAAAAGTGCCAAATAAATGTATAAAGCATTTAAAAATGCGTTATGAACTACCATACAAAAGTTGATCTAAACATAAAAATAGTTTAATCTTTCTTACATAAAAGCACAGTGAGAGTAACTCTTGACCTCTCCATCTTAGTGAGTGATTCTGAATAACTGACACTGGTGAGGGTCTTAATACAGATGTCAACCCTTATCTGATTGGTTCACGTCAATGGAAAGTTTTAATGCCTTGAGACAAAGGGGTTTGGAATTAGATATGAAAAATAAGAGCTATGTCAACCAATCACCAGTATACTTAAATTCGGTTTTAGTAAGCAACTACTCATACTTTTATTCCAGAAGAGCATTTGTGGTGGACAATATAAACTGGCCTTGCAAATCAAAGTTTCCAAACAAATTTCGAGCCAAGGAGCTTCTCTAATGAGATGGTGAGTTGAATCAATTATAAGAACACATAAACAAACCAAGAACAGATTGAGAATCACCGCCAGAGTCAAACTCATTAAATTCTTTGATTAATAGTTGCAGGTCTTACAAAGAACTATACATGACAAAACAGGAAACCCACAACCTTTTCGGTCTACTCTGAATGCAGATGAACTCATTATCTGAGCTGAACTCTCAGTTTAAACCTTCTAGTTCATCACTGATCTCCAAATGCCTACGTGTGGTTTTCTGTGCTGATTAAGAATGCACGCATTTGCACAAGAGGTAGCTTGACCCCAATCCACAGCTGTTTTTGTCATAGCTATAACACTGCAAATTAAGATGGTGCCGTTTCCTATTAACTGGCTCTGTCCAATTAATAGGTCACTGTGCATCTGTCAGCAGTACCTATTTGATCATGTGTGGATTGAACTCCAGAGAGAAATTCTCAGAGAAAAAGCTGTATAGACTTAGGCCTATTCTCAAACTCCAGCACATTAGAAGATGATATGCAAATGTTTGGGTGCAACCACAACTCGGTAATCCCACAGAAGAAGAAGAAGAAAGCATGTAAATTGATTGTGCTTGATTGCACCTGTCGTTGAAACAGAGTGATAATTGTACGTTTATTCGGGACCAGCTTGACCACAAGGCTTTAGTGGAAGCACGTCCGCCGTTCATTTAAAGGGTCAGAATGAGGAATGGAATTCCACTTTTGAGAGAAAAGAGAGCAGTGTACTATGGAAACGCAACTCAAAACTGCGATAGATTACGTAAATACGATTATCATTTAATTAAAACTAAATTTGGTCTACAAACTGTTCGTAGGCTAGTTGTCGGAAAACGGGCTTCATGGAAGACTTCCACTAGCAATCCGGCAACCCGTTAAGTAAATAATTTCATTTTGATGTGTCATATGATATATTTATTTATAATTTATTAATGGATATGATACGAAATAGGCATGTCGGATTTGTGAGCAAATTGGCCTTTTGAGTCGGATCTTCTTGTTTGAACCTGTTCACAACCAGCCTGAACGATTCGTTATCGAGTCATCGGGGCATTTTAGTGAAACAATTTGAGTGATGGAGCGAAAAGTAATTATTAAAAAAAAAATGGGATACATTTTTTAAAATGCATTTTCGGATCAGTTTAGCTTTTGAAGCTTATAAAAAGTCCATAACTTAATTTTCAAATAAAACCATATTGTGTCTGATTTATAACTTTTGAGCAACACATTTACTTCTCATTCAAACCTTGTTTTGAATTTTCAAATGTAGTTTGTTTGACCCAAAACATTACAATTTTGTTTATTTCTGAAAATAAATAAATAAAAATTAAATTTTTTCCCCCCAAAACAGACCCAAATGCAATGGAAGGGTTAAAGAAATTAGATATTGTTCTTGATCTTTTAACATTTTGGCCACATACACACTTTCAGGACTTTCACGCAAGATTCAGCAATGACAGCTGCTTTTAAATGTGTGTATGTTGTACTTTAAAATATTACATAACTCAAAACTTCCTCATTAGTCTAAACAATTATGGAAACCCAACTATGGAGATAATTCCAATTCTGCTGTAAAGCAGCTCTAAAAGACAATAGTGTGTAGGGGTGTGCGATATTGACGAAAAATTATATCTCAATATTTTCTGGTATTTTATCGATAACGAAAATTAGATGATATTTTGCTGAGTGTGTTAAAACTTTTTGAAATACATTCTGTTGTAGGAACAAGATATATTTATTCTTTTAAATCCAGGCATGACCAAGATGTGTATAAAAGGTGTTGTATTGGACATATTACATTAACTCATGGACATTTATTGATTGGTGAAGAAGCACCAAAATGTCAATATTGCAGGACTCTCTTGATGATGAAACATGTGCTTTTGGTCTGCTCAATATTTAATGTCATGAGACAAAGGTTATTATCAGGACATACTCTTAAGGAATTGTTTTGGACCCAGAAAAACATTTACAATTTCTTTCAAAAGTAAATTTAAAGAATCTGTTATAGAATTTTACGTGGACAACTTTTTACACGTTTTATAATTGTTTTTATTCATTCATTTATTTTTATTGTATTTTGTATTGTGTACTATTATATTGTTTTTCTAATGTATAATCTTTGCCATGAAATAGCTTGTGAAGCTGATGTGGAAATAAACTTAAATTAAAGTGTAAACTGCTGAGTGTGTTATTGTGCTGGTATTTTAATACCATGGACAGCTGACTCCTAAAGTTTTTTTGATATTCTTCTTATTCTGTGTGGTGGTCAGTTCACAGCAGTGACAGAAATTACTCTTTTCCAAGAAGTTTCAATTGATTTTTACCTTTTATGGGTATTTATAAACCCAATTTTTTCTAAAAGTGTGCATCACCTTTTGAGTCAAATTCCTTTAATCGGTCAGTTAGAATAATAAGGCATTGGGACTGTTACCAAGCAAATGAAATCAGTATCAACAAAATTCATCTTTGTAATGTAGAGGAAACACAGAAGCTGCATCTGAAGTGGTATTTAGATGTACTTACACACCGTTTAATGCAGCTCAGAGGGACATGAAATGCTTTAACCTGCAGTTACAAATGCATAAATAATGTTTCAATAATTTAAACATAAAACATTGAATACTGATATTTGAAATTATTCAAAAATGAAAAGATACTTTAAATGTGAAATTAAAACCGCCAGTAGGTGGCAGCAAGTCACTGTTAATGAGTGAGTCAATGCGATTGAACCGAATCATTTAAACGGAACAAAACGCCGTCATGTTGCTCAGAGACGCAAAACAGCGCTGTGGCTTTGTTTGGAGTTACTTTTGTTGGCGAAATAGAGCAAAAACAGGCAATATGGTGTATAAAACTTAAGTCTCTTAATATTTTTGTTTAATGAACTGTTGCATAAAATCAATATCACATTTGTAATCATGCTGATTTTTTTAAGAAAAACTGCACTCTCCGTATGATATTAACTATATGAAATGTGTAAACTATATGAAATATAAATGTATACATTTTCTGCCCCCATATCTTGATTATTTCATTCAGTGAAAGAACACACTAAATGCGCATGCGCACTACTCTAACCTTCTAGACTTAAAGGGATAGTTCATCGCCCAAAGACAGTTGGACATAGTGGTGTATTAGAGGTAAAAAATTCTAATATAAATACTGTTCGGTTTCTGGCACAAACTGATCGTTTCTTGTCTTAGGACATCAATGTGTCATCACGAGCTGCAGGGTTTAATTTGGATTTGTCTGTGCATGTTTTTTTTACTCTCATAGATTTT